TGATCACTATAATCACAAATAATCACTATAATCACAGTGACTATATAAATAATCACAGTGATTATATATCAAATAATCAAAGTGATTATATATTTAATGATCACTATAATCACAGTGATTATATATCAGATGATCACTATAATCACTGTGATTTTTTATCAAATGATCACTATAATCAAAGTGATTATATATTAAATAGTCACTATAATCAAAGTGATTATATATTAAATAGTCACTATAATCAAAGTGATTATATATTAAATGATCACTATAATCAAAGTGCTTATATATTTAATGATCACTATAATCAAAGTGCTTATATATTTAATGATCACTATAATCACAGTGATTATATATCAGATGATCACAATAATCACTGTGATTTTTTTTATCAAATGATCACTATAATCAAAGTGATTATATATTAAATAGTCACTATAATCAAAGTGATTATATATTAAATGATCACTATAATCACAGTGATTATATATCAAATGATCACTTTAATCACTGTGATTTTTTATCAAATGATCACTATAATCAAAGTGATTATATATTAAATAGTCACTATAATCAAAGTGATTATATATTAAATGATCACTATAATCACAGTGATTATATATCAAATGATCACTATAATCACAGTGATTATATATCAAATGATCACTATAATCAAAGTGCTTATATATTAAATAGTCACTATAATCACAGTGATAATATATTAAATAATCACAGTGATTATATATTAAATAATCACAGTGATTATATATTAAATAATCACAGTGATTATATATAAAATGATCACTATAATCACTGATTTTATAACAAATGATCACTATAATCAAAGTAATTATATATCAGATGATCACTATAATCAAAGTGATTATATATTAAATAGTCACTATAATCAAAGTGATTATATATTAAATAGTCACTATAATCAAAGTGATTATATATTAAATGATCACTATAATCACAAATGATCACTATAATCACAATGATAATATATTAAATAATCACAGTGATTATATAAATAATCACAGTGATTATATATCAAATGATCACTATAATCAAAGTGATTATATATCAGATAATCACTATAATCAAAGTGATTATATATCAGATAATCACTATAATCAAAGTGATTATATATCAGATGATCACTATAATCACTGTGATTTTTTATCAAATGATCACTATTATCAAAGGGATTATATATTAAATAGTCACTATAATCAAAGTGATTATATATTAAATGATCACTATAATCACAGTGATTATATATCAAATGATCACTATAATCAAAGTGATAATATATTAAATGATCACTATAATTACAGTGATAATATATCAGATGATCATTATAATCACTGTGATTATATATTAAATAGTCACTATAATCAAAGTGATTATATATCAAATGATCACTATAATTACAGTGATAATATATCAGATGATCGTTATAATCACTGTGATTTTATATCAAATGATCACTATAATCAAAGTGATTATATATTAAATGATCACTATAATCACAGTGATTATATATCAAATGATCACTATAATCAAAGTAATTATATATTAAATGATCAATATAATCACAGTGATTATATATTAATCACTATATCACAGTTATTACATATTAAATAATCACTATAATCACAATGATTATATATTAGATAATCACAGTGATTATATATCAAATGATCACTATAATCAAAGTGATTATATATTAAATAGTCACTATAATCACAGTGATAATATATTAAATAATCACAGTGATAATATATTAAATAATCACAGTGATTATATATAAAATGATCAATATAATCAAAGTGATTATATATTATATAGTCACTATAATCAAAGTGCTTGTAATCACAGTGATTATATACAAAATAATCCCTATAATCAAAGTGATTATACATCAAATCACTATAATCACAATGATTATATATTACATAATCAAAGTGATTATATATTAAATAGTCACTATAATAAAAGCGATTATATANTCAAATAGTCACTTA